GTAGTAGTGCACGGTGATGTCGACTTCGCGTCCGAGGTAAAGCTTTTGTTTGCGCAGCCTTCGGAGGCTCAGAGGGTTGCCCGCCCACTCCACGCCAAGGCTCCGCGGCGGGCTGATGCATTAGATGGGCTGGTTGAGATCTCGCCGGCATGTGCGACCCACTATGACAAACAGACGGATGCTGTTGCAGCGACTGACCGATTCTGGTGCTCGTGGCCTGGTTGGGTGCTCGCTCAGGTATATGCTACTGCTCGGGTGGGATGTCTTCCTGAAAAACTCCATCGTGCCAAAGTTTGTGATCATGCTGCTCTCACGATATCTATGTGCCAACGGAAACCCCTGGTCCCTGGTGAACGCCCGATCCCCAAACATGTTTGCAGTTCTCTGGACTATAAGCAATGCCTTGCCAAGTTTTTGGATGCGGAGAAGGCCCACTTGATGGCCATGCGTCCCCCGAGGCGCTTGCTGAGACAAAAATATCTGATGCAGGAAGCTGAAAGAGAGGCGAGGGACCTATTGATGTTTCGCAAGCCGTCGGGCCCCCGCACACTTCTGCTTCTCGCACGTGATTTGGCCCGTGCAGTCTGGAGGCAGGATGCGGTCACAGCTGATCGACTTCTCGCCTCTCATGCCGCTGCTGCTGATTTTGCCCGTATCGAGGGCGGTCGTGTCTCACTTATTCACCCTGCTGCTTTTCAGAGCTGGACTAACAGAGCGCAGTTGGAGGCGGCGAACATCGACCGCCTCGCTGCTCGCGCCCGTCTCGAGCGTGCTGAGGGGGAGGGAGTTCGTCAGAGAGAACGTCAACAGCTTCAGGCCATTGAGAGGAGGGCGAGGATCTGGGCGCCGTTCGCTCGTCGACTCACGCTTCGTGCTGCGCTCGTCGAAGGGAGGAGGGTTGAGGAGGATCTTGATCGTAGCGCTGCTCTCGCTGCGCATTGGGGGCCGATCTTTTCAAGGAAAGCGTGGCCAGCGAAGACGGCCAACACATGCTGCGATCGCTTCGTCTGCCCCGTGGACTTTGCCGACTGCCCGCCACCGTCTCTTGCGATGCTTAAGAGAGTTGCACGCTCGGTTAGCGACTCAGCGCCAGGAGTTGACAGATTATGTTATGCGGCCTGGCTGGCCCATCCGAGTGGACTGACATTGCTTCATGACCTCCTCTGGTGGATGATGTCTGGATACAGCATCCCTGTCGCTGAGAGCGTCACCTTGCAAGCCTTTTTGCCGAAAGGAGAGTCCAGCACTGACACGAGAGAGGGCGACTGCGACAGAGAAGCTTCGTCGGTTCATGTTCTCGGGCTTCGAAATACCAGCATCAAATTACTCATTACGACCATGGACATGGCGATCCGAAAACCGCTCGATCGATTCGTTCATCGGGACCAGCGAGGGTTCATGGAAGGCAGGAGCTTTTGCCAGAACATCTTAGAGGGGGACGCCCTCGCTCGTGCGCACTCTGCCCGCCCTGAAGCTGACGACCGCTGTCCAATGCTGTGCGCCTTGGACTACGGCCACGCTTTCCCGAGCCTGTCTCAGGAGTCCGTGATCCTTGTTTTGAGGAAAATGGGATGTCCTGTCGGATTTTTGATGTTCGCCGAGACGTTGTATGACAGTATCGAAGGTGTGATGTCGGTCCAGGGGATCTTGGTTCATGCGTTTTGGATTCGCTCTGGGATTATCCAAGGGCGCGCTCTTTCAGGCTCGATGTTCGCGATTGCCCTCACGCCGGCGCTGATTGACCTCAACCGCAGATTCGAGATCCCGCGGAAGGGGGTCAATCGTGCTTGCGCGGACGACTTGGGTGGAGCCTTGTCGGACATACGTTTGCTGCTGCAGCTCAGACGCGTGATGAAAGTCGTTGAGCTGATCGCGCACCTGTGCCTCAAGTAAGTGTGTCTTGACTCCAGTCTCAGGTCCGTTTACCCCTGCTCTCAAAGCCCAAGTCCAAAAGTTTCTGAACATGTCCATTCCCGAGTGGTCCGAGTTCCGAATTGAGGCTAAACTGTTTTACTTGGGTTTGTGGATTGGTCCCGCGGCCGGGCTGATCGACTCCTGGACTCTCCCCCGCCAGAAGCACCGTGATCGTGCTGCGGCAATTGGTGCTGGTAATACGCCTGCATCATCGTCGGCCGTGCTGTACACGACGCGTGCCGCGTCTGTCCTCAGTTACGTCATGCAGTTTTTGCCGCTGCCGACAGAGCTGAAGGATGCCGAGAAAGGTGCCTTGGCTCAGGCGTTCCGCCTCCCGCTTGGTGCTTTCCGTGCGCGGGACTGGGCGTATCTTCATGAGTGGAATGCACCTAGAGTGTGCCCGTTGGAGGTGCTCAGCATCGCTTCGCTCGCTCGTACGGCCAAGTCGACTTTACCTGAATATGATCGGATATATCGTTGGCTGGTGCGCATGACAGGCACGCCCATGTCTCAGGAATTGGACGAATGCCGCCTGACAGTGTTGCCTGCAGGAAAACGGTACCCGCGCCACTGGAAGTGCCGTGCCTTTGTTGAGTATCTGCATGACGCGGAGCATGGAGTCGGAGGTCCAATGCACGTTGCTGCCGCAGCCGCCTGCTCAGCAAATGATGTGGAGCCGCAGCGTGTTGCCAAGATTGCCTGTGTCCAATGCTGGCCGCAGCAAGGCCTCGGAGAGTTGTTTGCGTCCCGTCTCTTGAAGTGGTGGCCTGAGCAGGCCGCGGTGATCCAGGCCATTGACTGGCCCAGCATCCAGAGTGTTCTCAGAGTTGTCCCGCCCGCTTGGGCCTGGTCGTGGATTAGAACCTTCAGCGGAGCGTGGCTCACCTCTTATCGTGTACTGAATGAAGGTGGCCGTAGGGGATGCATTTTTGGATGCGAGGGGGAGCCCGATCGTCAAGTGCACTACGCCAGCTGCCCTCGCCTTGTCTGGTCTATTTCAACTGTTCTTCGTTATAGGCAGTTGTCCTCTGATCCGTTGGCCAGATGGGGGATCCCGATTTGCACCGTTCCCGTTCTCGAGGAAGTGTGCATTGCTCGTCATATTTACACTCCCTCCGTCACCTCCCTCCTGCGTCTCTTCTTCATCCGCAAGTGAATCTCGATGCGGCACTGTCCGCTGTCCGCGAGCTGCACCTCACGGCGCCCA